GGCGAACGGAACAGCGGTTATGGGTCAATGTTAGCTACCCCAGCTATTTGGAGCTTCGCAATCCGGAGTTTCTGCGACTAGATTTCAGCGTTGTGTGTGAAACGCTGTAACATAGGCTTGTCCTGGACATATTCAGCCCAGGCATGTGGAATTCTTACCGCTCAGCGCCAAGTTTTTTTCTTTTTGTCGCTCTGACTGGAGAAAGTTACATAATTCATGCGTTCCAGTGTGGGGTCTGAGGCTTTTTGAAGCCTTATATTTTGCATTCTCATCTGCATCACTTTTTCAATCATCTTGTCAGCGTCATTGTCGTAGTTTTGTCACTGAACCGTGCAGCAGGTAACTGTAAATGCACTATCTGCAAGGCGTGGCGTTTCTTTATCATGAATGCGTGAGCTATGCGGCCGCCGGCCAGCTCCAAGATGAGTTGGAGAAGATGGCGCTACGTTCGCGGCGCGGGCGCCGTCAAACAGATCCGATGGATGGTTTTTTGAAGCATGAGTGTTACTTGTACTTGTCAGGCATACTTACTTGTGATACTTGTCAGGCATATTTTCCATCACAGGGGTACCACATGTACTTCACATGTACTTCGCTGCAAAAGAAAGCGTTTTCTTAGGAAATGTTAGGTTTAGAGAAGATGGCGACCTTTATAGATTAACAGCTCTTTTACGAGAATCAGGCACGAGTGCCTATTACAACCCTCTATCTAATTTTCCTCGCCGCATGCAAATACTTCAGAAATCACAACATCGGCAAACAAACAGAGGCAGCGACGGCCGAGTCATGGATGATTTTTCTTGAGCTGAGAATACCATAAATCAGGAGATTTTCAGGGATGAGATAATCATCCATGGCCGAGTCTTTGGGCCCGACACATGCGCCTCTGAACGCTTCCCGTCCAGACACGATGTTCTGGCGCGAACTCAATGGTCCGACGCTGCTGTCGCCTGTCTGACCGAGACAGACCTGCACTTTATCAATGGCAGATGATATGTCATGGCACGTGCACTGTGCAGAGTGGCCTTAAAATCAGGTCACAGCATGGGTTGCCAGACTTGTTCCATGTGACAGGTGCAGTTCCTTGTGTCCGAGGACGTACTATGTTACCAAATTACCTTTTTGTTAGTTTTAAAATATAATATTTTCAGAGGTTTAAATAGTTCCAGCTTGTTTCGGAAATAAGACGTCACGAAGAAATTGTAGAGATGGCAGGTGTCATTGTCAGAATATAGCATGCGTCAGATATTCAAGACCGGATACTTAGCGCATATTTGGTAGCTGTGAGCCTGTATGATGAACTGTAATTGAACATCCGTGACGGCTAGCTCCGCGGGGTCCTTCTCATCAGAGTGCTCGCTCGGTCAGAGTTCGGTCCCGCGTTTTAGGGCGGGCCGGAACAGCTGAGGTCCGGGCCCGACCTCTGCCGCCGGCTGATGGTTATCGGCACTCAGGCGCCGCTCGCCCGCCGGCCAATGCCACTTTATTCACACCGGCACCCGACGCCAATTCCGTCATTCGTTTTTTATATGATTTTCTTCATGAGATGCTCTTGAGATACCTACCACCCTCGCTTCTAGGTAGCTTCATAAACTCTTCTTTTTGCCACGTAATTTGACAGCGCACACGTTAAGTCATAAATCGCGTTTTTATTACGGAGTCCTTATTCCACTTCAAAGGTATCCTAGCGCTCTACAACTTGAAATGACTGTCCTCACAGGTAACTTATTATCAATTTAGCGATAATAAATCTGGAAGCCGCTGTGCAGGAATATCCGAGCAAGTTCGCCCGTCCAGCCTCGTGCGGCTTACTCTCACTGTGGGAGCGTGAATCAGCATTTGGCTCGCGTGCGCTGCGATTAGGCTGAAATTAGCACCATGGGCCAAATCGGACACAAATGCTGGTGAGCTGTCGACACAGCGGCAGCTGGAGTGACGGCACGAGACGCGTCAGCCGACTGTGAGGTCACCCGCCTCTGTGGTCTCCATAGTCCATGTCCATGGCCGGATCAACCGTATCACCTGCCGGCAGTGAGCTGTTAGACGTTATAAACGAGATGATTTGATTCGAATCGTGTCAAAAGGAGACACAGAGCAAGCATAGTACATGGCTCTACTCGAAGTCTGCTTCAACCAGGGTTCTGCTGAACCTGCAGCTATTTTAGGGAAACACTCTGAGTCTGTGTCTGGCATGTTTGATTTTTAATTTCCGCTATCTGTCGTATCTCTTATTGCTCTTATTGTGCTCTCTGGCTGGTGTACAAGTCTGGAATCTGCCCGCCAACTCTCCCATTAGCCGTGAGCTACGCCAACATTTGCGTGCATGACGATACAGAGTGCGACTCACCAGGACAGTCAGCGCCAAGCTCCAGAAAATTCACTATGAACAATGGTACTCGGCTGTCCTGAATTGGCCTTGACCCACAGCTGAGTTAAAACCTGGCAGTCACAGGGCTCTGGTTTAATGTCCCTCACTTTATCTCCCTCCTAACTCTAGCGTAATAATTGTCTTCTCTTGTCATATAATTAGCATTCAGCGCCTAATAACAGAAGCCAGACAAGAGCCCATACAACCATCCTGAGGGACCTATTTCTATCAAACAAGAGTTACAGGTATGTAGCTTACATGCATAGCAAGATATTTCATAGGCAAGGAATCCAAACGCCGCATTGCAGCCTACTCTGCACCACTCTGCCCCTGCCCTCGGGCGTGTTGACCTCTGACCCCGCCAGACGGCCAGACGGAATTCCGCTGTCTTGTCGTCACCCTCTCCCCGACCCCCACGAGACCCATCGCCTGGTTGGGCGCCTCGGCGGGGGCCGGGGCTCGGGCCAAAACAGAGGAGTCTGCTCGGTGGTCTGTTCAGAGGAGTCTTGTCCAACCCCAACCGAAGTTTACCCGAGGGCTGGAACGACATGTCTGCTGACTTAGGCGGCAAAGTCAATTACTGCGTAATGTAGTAATTGCCGCAGTGGGTATTGGACGTGCCCAAATTGAACGGTTCATGCTAGAACGCACCTGGTCTCATTTTTTTTTTTGTATACGGGGCATTACACGGCTAACAGGTAGTAGGTATGAGCCAGTTTTCGGAAGCCGGCTTCACTTCGACCGGCACAAAAATAGCGCGACTATTTAGATGATGAAGCGATGCTTCTGAAATGGAGCGGCTCACCGCAGAAGCAACATTTCCAGAAGAATTAATTGCGAGCTGCAAAAATTGCGTGTAATTATGCCACTTGTTCGGGGCTAACGACAGAAAATGTGCCGAGCTAATGACTGATAGCCATACTGTCGGGTACCGCCGGCTGTCATAAAGCTATATTTGCACGGCGGCTGCGGGCGCAGGGTGGTAACTGCTGCCCAGTGTACCCACTCATTGCTCAGTCTTCCCTTGGCGGCTCCCGTAAACGACTCCGTGTGGGCCGGGCAGTCGGCATATGAATGGTGGTGACGTAAACATTGCGGCGGGTTCATGCAACAGTTTTCCGATGGTGGTCTGTGAATGTCGCCGTCCATGGCGCTGGTTTTGTTCATAATATCCCCGTTTTGCTGCTCGTCTGATGAGCAGGGTAGTACTGTTGGTATTGGTAGTAAGGAGGAAATTGGATGACCCGAATGCCACAAATGACAACAAATTGACCAGTGACCCCACGGGTGTCATTGGCTCACCCACGTCTCACTCTCACCTACGCCTGAGATTAGATCAGCTTAGGCCATGAAAGGTCACATTCAGTTTGTCGACCAGAACTTTGGATCGATGCATGTAAAAACTGTGAAATAATCTCAAATGTGTTCTATTCAACGCTGCGAATCAGTGAACTGATATGCTGTGCAACATGACCTTCTCGGCTAGGCCATGACTGATCTTGTTTGTATCCTTGTGTTGAATTTTAAAGCCGACATTTCAAGTGAAATTATAATTCATTCGACGCGCCCTGACGAGGGAAATGCTATGCGGATAAAATCAATGCCGTAAAAGCTTTATGTCAATTGTCAATAGCTGTTGCAGGACAAAATATTTTTCCATAAAACGGAGCTATCCAATGTCTTCTTCGCGCTGTTCCAGCCTAATTAGATCAAAATCTTGAATATATCAATCTATGAACCAATATGTCCATTGTCCAAGCAATCAAAATCGTGAAAATTTGACCTTATATGACCTCGGGTACTCTGATCACGTGCCCTGAAAATGATAAGAGAATTACTCCTTGAATTTTGACGTTCTTTCAAACGGTGCTTACTGCGTTTTGCCTCGTGGCCCAGGGACCGAGTTAGAAGGGGGTGTGTAGCTCATCTAATGGTTTATCGGAAGTGGGAAGTGACAGTACTTTTCCTTGGTAAATGGTAAGTCCTCGACATAACACCACGACCCACGTTGACAAACCCTTGACAAAGCTGTGTGTAACGGGTTCAGTCTGCGTCGGCCGCCGTCGCCACCTAGGATGCAGGTCGGTTCCCGCCGCCGCTGCTGCACTGTCGCGACCCGACAGGCGGAGGTTTACGGTCATCCCAGGAGACGCACCACCCTCCAGACGGCCAGGCGGCCGCCGTCGGGTCGTGCCAAGACGGGGGGGGGGGATAGAGGGGGAGGGGGGAGGGTGCCAGACAGTGACGGCAGCGACCCCGTCTGCCATTCTAAAACCCGCTCTCTCCTTTCCAAGGATTTAAGTTTTATCCGTAATATTCCCCTTTGTCACTCAGTTTCAGTTCTACCGTTTTATCTTATTCATCTCTCACCTCTAGCCGTTTCATCGAAACTTTCAGTCAACTCACTATCAAATGTATGTACCACTATTGCAGCGACTTTTTTACTGTCGCTGACCTGCACTGCTGTGTCTTTCCGTGGCCTTCCTAATACCATCTACATCCGACCCTTCCCACCCCTCCTCTCCAGCCGAAGCTGACGGTCCGACCCCGCCCTGACCCGGCGGGTCGGCGGCTGATCGTCGGGCTCCTCCGGGCCGGCCGGGCGGCGGGTCAGGTGGCGGTGCTGCCCGGTGCAGTCGGCAGTAGCGCCTGGTGGCCGGTGCGGAGCGGCGGGCCGCTCTCGGAGACACCACCGAGCGAGGATGGTCGGTGACGGCGCCGGCGCGCGGGCGCTGCTCGTGGCCTCTGCCATGCTGCTGAGCCTCACCGGCCGGCCCACCGACGGATGTCAACGGCAAACCGGTGAGTGGCCTCGGCTCAGGCCAGGTCACCGGGGATCCGGGGCTAGGTGGGGTGGGTTGGTGATTGTCGACCGGGTATAATGTGGCATTGCGTCATGAGTTCTTTGGTAAGTGCAAATTATTTTGCATGAACAGAATGTCCTCACAATCAAGACTGGGTGAAAAGCTCTCTTCGCGTGGCGGGCGCAACTTAAACATGAATACGTGATGCATCGTCGTTGTTAGCAACCCTTATGCAATAACATTCATCGGCCGACCACCTCGAAGCTAAAATGCTTCAGCAATGCCCACCTCCAGGTGCCCGTGCATCTGCTTGGTCACATGTTCTCGTTGGGTTTAGGATATGCATTGCCCCGAACATGTCCACAATCCCTTGGCTTCTGATAAGCTTCCAACCGATTACGAATGTAGTTCTTATACGGTGCTTGTTCCGCTTTCTGTTCCTTGAAGTCCAATCACTCCGCTCCATCAATCCCTAACGCGTAAAATTTCCATTTCCCTCGTCGAATCGCCACGAGGACTTGCGCGTCACTCCAACACTCCTCGTGTCAGAGCTGAGCCGCTGTGGTGTCCGGCGCGGAGCACCGGTGCCCATCGCCCTGTGCGGTCGGCGTAATTGATGGCTCCAGCCCAGCTGTGCAAACCAGCCGGCGGGCTCCGCCAAATACGGCGGAGACGGGCGGCTGCCGGGGCGCCGCGGCCGATGACGCCCGGCCTCTGCCGACCTACCGCGGGCGGCGACACGGCGCTGGGTTACCGGGATATCACTCTGTTGGGCCGAGGTTCGATGAGGCTACGAGGTGAATTCGGCGGCCGCGGGGGCTCACGCGTGACGATGAATGTGCGACAGTCATTTCTGGGCTCGGTGACAGTCTGGGTCGGATGTAGGCGGACGCTCCTGTCTGGGACAGGCAGCGGTCTCCAGGACGCCGCTGGAATTAAATGTTGCAGTCACGTCGTGACAAAGCTTTCTTTGGTTCAGCCTTGTGCTTGGCCTTGACAAAATGTATGTATTCAAATATCGTCTCGATTGCTCGCCAGTTTTAATTTCTTTGTCTTTCCCGTCACGTATGCCGGAAGGTTTAAGTCACCTTTCGGCATGCATTGAATATCGTCCACATCTTGTTTCTTTTCTCCCTAAAATGTTCGCCCACAAAAGACCGGCAACTTATTCTTACCAAGCAACATTCCCTCCAGTCCTCAGCAGTCAGCCCCACCTGCACCCTGCCCCATACTCTCTCCCCCTCCCTCGGACTCCCTCGCCCGTCCCCTACGGCCCACCGTCCACCGTACCCCTTTGCTCCCGGAGACCTGACTCCCTTCCCCTCCCTCCCCTCTCGGCACTCGCGAGTGACGGACGTCTGCGCGCCGGCAGACGACATTTATGAGGTGGCGCGCTGACGGTGCTGCCTCCGCGATGACGAGCGGACATGGTGACGGTGTTGTTGCCAGGGAGGGTCATCTACTGACCTGTCGACCCCCAGCGACGATCAGATAGGGAAGTCGCCTGAGGAAGTGCATGTCGTCGGGTCATATTGTTCGTGGGAGTAGGAGTTATTTGTGATTTTGCAATGCAAGGACAGGGTTGTTAATAGTCTTATTCCATAGGTACGATTTCTCCGAGCTTCCACAAACACACATAGATATTCTGTAAAAAAAAAAACACTAGCGGATATTCGCGAATAAAAGTCATTTCGCGAATAGCCTACCTTTCTAGGAACTGTGCACGGAATCCTGATAAGCTGCGATGTTGAATGAAAATGACTTCGTCCGTCCTTACTCTTCTCTTCTCTACTCTTCTAGCTCGTTGGTTGCTAACAGATTGTCCCGTGTAAATTGTTACCTAAACTGCTGGTGCTGGTGTTCATGTTCTGCAAAGAGGTGTATGAATATAATCTCAGATGCTGATGAGTGCTGATAGCATGATCAATCCTGGCAGCTCTCTTGGTTAGCGGCGCGAGTAGAGCTATCTGGATTCCATCAGCTAAATGTTGCTGCTTGCGAATCGGGGAAGGCGCCAAGAAAACACACGATGGCTCTCCTGGCTGATAGGGGATGTCCGAACTCTGCGAACCTCGGACGTCTCTGACGTCAACCGCACATCTGATCTAACCGTCGGCGTGCGAGACTCGTCCGAGCTGCTGATCCAGCCCGACTAGCGGCTCTGAAGTCGGCTCGTGTTCGCTGCGGCTGTGGTTTCGGCCGGGGTTGGTCTTTGCTGCTAGTGATAGCGTGGGCGCCTGCCGTCAGTCGTCGCTCACCACAGGTATGATGTGACCGGGCAGGTGGCGCAGCCCGAGCGGTTTTCCGAAGCGAGCGGTTTCTCGAGTGGCTCTGCTTGGATGGTGGTTTCTATGAGGTGTCTGCCCGAATTTCCTGTGATGTGTTCCTGATAACCGTTCGAGCTCACGCCGTTTCGGTCGAGCTCACCGGAAGGCGAGCGTTAGCTGCTGCAGCGGTGCCTACTGCCTCGTACCTCGTAGTTTCTCGTGGTCGGTTGTAGGTAGTTGGCGCCGAGTGGCGTTGAATTCTCGGCCGATTGGGCCGTGACAGGCCACCTCAGCACTGTCGCGTCCAGTCACAATGATTATGGTCGGAGACATCACGCCGTCTGAGACGTCACGGGGCGCCGGACACTGCGCAGTGCCGCGCTGACGATTGGGTTTGATTGAGAGCTGCCACAGTTGAAAAGACGCTGCGCAAAACTAAATCAGACGCCTGCACAATTGTGCGTCTTCTATTATGTTTCAATGCGCCACGTGCGAATGTGTTGCAACTGTAAAGAAGGCACGGACGAGTTCCGATTCGCTTCAAAAGTAAACGATTCATATTAACCCATCGACGTGGTGGTGATTTATTCATGCCACCCTCGTCGACGTTTCCTGTAGTCTTGTGACGGCCTTACGCTTTCCTTGGCCGCTGCAGGGATCGATAAGTGCTCCGAAGGTCACGGTTGTAACGTGCCAGCGAACATGACGGTTGTCCAGTCATTGTTTGAAGTCTGCTTCCCGCTCGGACGCTGGCGAATCGTGAGGTGGCGTTAGATGCAGCCTGACCCTCACTGGTAACGTCCGCACGTACCTTGAGTCGCACAGATAATGCAGCCCTCAGATTGCTGCCAATAGAACTACAATTCGTCTTGATGCTGTGCCATGACAAATAGCCATGCGCCGCGTAGTGCCACGGGCGGTTTCAAATGGCTCGTATCAACCATCATTACCACCGGCCGAGCGGCCTTGTGACCCTTGCGCCAATCTGTTTAAGCTTTTTCATGCTACTGATGTGGCATCACATCCATCACAATAACAAGTGATTAATAGCGGGAGATATCAGTGCCGTCCTGCACGTCTGAGTCACGGTCCAGCAGCGTTCCTGGCTAACGGCCGGCACATTTGGATTCGAGGAGAGCCGAGACGGGTACGCCCTCGTGGAATGAATTCGCCGACTCGGGAGACGCTCTAGCGTGCTCACGGCAACACACGAACACGTTATATGTACTTACGGAGGCCAGAGGCTTCAATGAGGAACACGCGATTGGAGTAAATCCATTCAGAGAAGACCATTAATGCCATCGGTAGCTTCCGGAGCGCATTATCCCGGATCATCCGCCGGGCGGCACCGCCGGCGATTCGGACCGGCGTCTGCGCGGCGCCGAGCGCAGCCATCTCCATACCGCCGGGCCGGGCCGGCGGCCATGCAAATCCTCAACTTCCGCCGTCACCGAGGGCGATAGATGCACGTCTTCTGGCGAGACGTGTACGGCGACCCGCGGCCTGTTTGGCCAGCCGATTTACATGGCAACCTGTCGACCGGGCCGGGCCGGCGGCAGGTGAGGTGTTTTAGAATGGGACGACGGGCGCGGCGGCATCTCGACGCTGTAAGTACAAGCATCTGCTGTCGTCGTGTCGTTCGAATGGCGACAGCTAACACTGGGCTGAGGCGGAAATGTCCAGCGAAAAAGCGTGCAGCGTCCTCGTAACTAACGGTTGACCGATGTTTATTGTCGGGATCGGGATGTTTTGCCCTTTGCCGTGAGCGATATAGTTGCGACTATGCCTGTGCTCAATGCCACGCGGTTTAGATCGCACGATTTCTGGTAAGACGAGGGATACGTATAAGGCTGTCACGTATCGTATTCCTGATTCATATCTCATGCGGTATCTGTTCCATATGCTCGTCACTATGAGGTAGCCTCGCAGGATTGCAACTATTTTACATAGATACGTAGCTATTTTGTGTTGTGTTGGTTTTATATTGACAGCTTGACAAGATCGCTTTTATACCGCTCGAATATCTTTCCTAAGTTGAGGTCGTACGATGACGCGATCACCGTGGTTATCTATTATCAATACTTCCGATACAATATTTTTGGAATCGATTGACATCTGTCAAAAGTGCGCATGCTGCTTGGAATGATAAGCATTGCTATTAAAGTCACAAGTCTTACTGGAGATCGACTAGTTATGCTTTTGCCATAGTTCCGCGAGTTTTCCCCTTATAGTACCTACTGCCGTATTAAATAAGTGCTGTCAATTTTTTTCGCTACATCCGGTGCAACATACCTTACCGCGTATTCTACTCTTAACTGTATATAATACAGTGTGCGCACGTCTCTTTACTCACTCCCTTACTTCCTGTCACACTCCCGATCCATCATTCCCACATCCCTCCCACCTAACGTCTGTTGGCCACTGCGGCCGTCAGTGCGCCCGGCCGCGCCTCTACGAGCGGGTCTCGAGGCCCGGCGGGCGGCCGCGCCAGGCAGTCTGGCCGGCCCGCTGCCGAGGTCGACTTCACCGAGCCTGACGCTGCAATAACTACGGCTGGTTGGGCTGGACGGCGGTGGGCTGTCGCTAACGGCCTCCCTCTCCCTCTCTCCCTGCCTCTCTCCCGTTCGGTGGAGACCTGACCGGAACCATGACGCGCCTCTCCAGAGGTCAGCGTCAGTCTGCACAGCCAGGCTCCGTCCCCTCCCGCTCCTCAGCGGCTCGGCGCTAATTG